TAGTAGCTAAGGGCATTACTAGTAGTAGCAAGAAGCTACTAGTAGCATAGCGCATCGCTACTAGGAGCAAGGATGCTACTAGTAGCTAAGGGCATTACTACTAGTAGCAAGAAGCTACTAGTAGCAAGGTGCATCGCTACTAGGAGCAAGGACGCTACTAGTAAGGGCATTACTAGTAGTAGCAAGAAGCTACTAGTAGCAAGGCGCATCGCTGCTAGGAGCAAGAATGCTTAGAGTTTGATCCTTTTGGAATGGATGCCACAGGAGCTCCAGAGAGCTGCTTGCAGCGACAGGTGCGCCACGCACGAGCGACCACGTTTTTTCTCGGCCCTGTGCGTGGAGTGTTGACAAGGGAACCGTTTTGCCACCTCACAGGTGTCCCTCATCAACACCGCATCACGAACTACATCGCCCCACAAATGTTGTTTTCTTTCACTTCTCTATGTAATTACTCCCTTGCCACGTCCAGACTGATTGCTCCTTTGTGTAGAGGCAGCATCCAAGGAATTCTCAATGGGCTGCCACTTCTGTGCTGGACAGATGTAAACCAAAAAGCCAGCTGGAGCACCCCCGATAGCAGTCAATATATTTGGGAGCGCGTTGGTCCCAGTTTGCCCCCTTTTTTTTCAGAATGATAGAAGACTCAAAGAAGCACAACAATTCCGAAACAGCTCAGCTGGTCGCAAGGTGGGACGATCCGTCAATTGGCGAATGTTCTACTTGACACTTCTGTGGTATGCGTGGAACACCCTGTTCTACACGTGCACACGAGTGGTAGGTGTCGGCGGAAGTATCGCACGCTTTGCAGAACAAGTGCATCTCATCGCTGAGGTGCAAGTTGATATCATCGCTGCATCGTTCAAAGCTCAGCGCGTGAACCATCTCCACTTTGGGCGCTCCTTGATCGGCTGATGGGAAAGTAAATGCAATTAGATGAAATTGCTGTTTCTCAAACATTACACTGCCTCGAAGAATTGGTAGTGGTGAATGTTCCCAGCAAATGAGGGTGTATGGGTGCCAATGCTTTGAGGATAGCTATGGCTTAGGATAGCTATGGCTTTGGAGCTATGACCCGGTAACATTTGCAGTTCCCAGCAAAGAGATAGAACTGCGCCAAAATGCCTCGCAGATTCCTCTTCCTTGAGATGCGACGATGGTTTGTTCATTTTTGTCTATTGATTGCATTTGGCTGAATGGTGTCACGGTTCGTTTGGGCGTCGTTTTTGGTCGCCCAGGGAGCTGCTTTGGCCTTCAAATGCGCGGAAGGTGGCACGGCGGAGGTGGGTGGCTGGGAACGGCGTGCTTCGCAGCAAGATCCTTACGGCCTTAGGACAGAGTAAAGGTTGCGGAAATGTGTGGGGAAAAACCATTAATGGATTCAGACGATTGGCATAGAGGTGGTAAACATACACTATGGATCCTTCAAGGATTTAGCTAGTCAAATGAGTCGTTGGCTAACATTGATTACATGATCCTTTTGCGTCTCCCTCGTGAGCACATGTGAGCAGCCACATGGCCAATGATCCATGTCAGCCAATGACTAACTTAGTGTAACAGCGATGTTGCTGATAGGGATCCCCAAAACCATCAGTTCCAGGGTCGGGATCATCCGATGATCCTTTATCACAAAATGAGTCAAAATGCTGATGAACATGAGAAGGAGGAAAGGTGGTGATGGCAGGTGATACCTGGTATACGATCGTTTGTCGGTCGCTCCACCCCAGCCAGGGCTGTTTTGGTATGGAAACGGACTTTGGCTCACTCATGACACACTTTTGTGGATGTTTACGTACTAAGAAAGCCTCCTCATTCTTCCGGGGCCTGCAGAGTTTCTCCAGCAAGGAGATTGGAGTAGATGAAATAACGTGGTGTTTGCACATGTCACAGATCGACTATGTTGATCCAATTTGCATAGTTTGCAGCTCCACTTTTGGTGGGTTGTACTTTTCTGCTGACTTTGTATGTCCAACCAACATGCGCGCTCGTCACTGTGCTCTAAATAAGGCACGCCAGATGCGAAATCGCCGACAGCCGATAGCCTCACCAGGTCTGATGTGTCAGCATCTGTGGCGATGACGTCATCAACCTTGACCCGGCCTGAGAACAAAAGAACCATCCGAAACACTTTGTTTTTTGGTTCAGCTGTTCTTTTTTGGAGAGGAAAGCCTTCACCCTTTTCTTCTTCAGGTCCCGCGTAACCGCCCACGCCGCGTCCCCGGTCACTGCGTTCGCCTTGTCTTCCAGGCCGCCCAGTCTCATCATGAGCGAGGTCTTAAAGTTCGTGGACTTGTTTGGGCCTTGAGATAGATGCTAGCATGATACTGCAAAAAGAGCGACCATAGGAACAAGATGGACAGTTTATCGTTGTGGATTCTTTACTTTTTCATTGTTGGATCAACATCTCGTACTAAAGTGTTCGCATTCTAACAGGCAGGCGCACCCATCCTGCCCAAAGCCCGTAAAGCACTTCCAGCATTTTGTATGTCAGGGATTGTCAGGGTATATGGCTCAAAGGTAGTGTCTCAATTAATGTATCTCAAACATGTTTCAGCAACAACCACACCATGTTTAGTGATCCCAAAGTAGGCAAGCCAAACCCAAGTAGGACGGTTTTGGGTTTGGGATTTTGCTTCTCAGCTGGGCCAAGTAGCAAGTCGTCGAATCCATAAGGCTGGAGCTGCCGAGCTGGATCTTGAACAAAGGTTTCTATGAAGTGGCACCTTGGAATATTATGTTTTTGTCACATGCTGCCCACACTACGTGACACTCGGATACATTCGGGCATTCCAGCCAGCCTAGTCATTGTCACAGACATCTAGCTGGTGTGCTTCGCTTGCTTGGAGCAATGCTGTGATTATTCTTGTGTGCTTGGTGTAAGTTTGGGTAGTGGATGGGTAGCAATGCTATATTTCCCCAGATAGCGAAGCTATGGGGTTCTTATACTTCAAATAACAATGAGTTGCCCGTGCGCGCTTTCGAGACAGGTTGCTGGTGCTGGTGCTGTGAGCTGGCTGTGCACATGGTGGAGACCGGGTGCCGGTGCCGGTGCTGGTGCTGGTGCCTAACTGTGCACACGGTGGAGACAGGTTGCTGGTGCCGGTGCTGGGTGCCGGGTGCCGGTGCTGGTGTGTGAGCTGGCTGTGCACGTGGTGGAGACAGGTTTCTTGGTGCTGTAAGCTGGCTGTGCACGTGGTGGAGACAGGTTGCTGGTGCCGGTGCTGGTGCTGGTGTTGTGAGCTGGCCGTGCACGTGGTGGAGACAGGTTGCTGGTGCCGGTGCTGGTGCTGGGTGCCGGGTGCCGGTGCTGGTGCTGGTGCTGTGAGCTGGCTGTGCACGTGGTGGAGACAGGTTACTGCTGGTGCTGGGTGCCGGTGCTGGTGCTGGGTGCCGGGTGCCGGCTGGTGCTGGTGTTGTGAGCTGGCTGTGCACGTGGTGGAGACAGGTTGCTGGTGCTGGTGCTGGGCGCCGGTGCTGGTGCTGTGAGCTGGCTGCACGTGGTGGAGACAGGTTGCTGGTGCTGGTGGTGGTCCTGGGTGCCGGGCGCTGGCGCTGCTGGTGTCGGTGCTGGTGCTGGTGCTGGGTGCTGTGAGGTGGCTGTGCACGCGGTGGAGACAGGTTGCTGGTGCTGGCCGGGTGCCGGTGCGCCCGGCTGTGCACGGTTGCTGGTGCTGGTGCTGGCTGTGCACGTGGTGGAGACAGGTTGCTGGTGTTGGTGCCGGGAGCCGGTGCTGGTGCTGGGTATGCCGGTGCTCGGTGCTGGTGCCCGCTTCTGACAGTGAAGTGATAACAGCTGCCGCTTCTGACAGTGAAGGGTAACAAAACGCCGCTTGCAGCAGTGAAGGGCAAGCGCCGCTTCTGACAATGAAGTGCCAGCAGTCATGGGCCGCGTGAACTTATGCACGCAACATCATACGGTGTTGTCGATTGAACGTTCTTTGTCTATTAGTGCTGTGGGGTATTTACACTCTTCAGGTTCTGTTTTGGCCGACAGCTGTGTCAAGGGCCGTACTGTTTGCGCGCATACTTTTG